CATAAGAGAATACTTGAGAATAAAATTAAGTGGCCTAAAGGGATTACTAAAAACGATTTTCTATTAACTGAAAATGGCTGCAGAGAATTGCCTTTCCTTTTGGTTCTCCAGCTTCAGTATTAGACATGTTATTGCAGAAGCTGTTTTCAAGGAGAAAGATACTTTCAGCAGATTATATGGCTAATGAAGGAAGCTATTAATTTTTCCTTTAAAAACTATATTTAGCTCTGAAAGAATTTATTTTTCTCTTTGCATTTAGAATACCCTTCCTCCCGCTGATAATACCAATTTTGTTTCTGAAATGGCTAACCTGTTTAATGTTTTGGTTTCAAAAAAATAATTTTACAATGACAACTTTCTGGGTTTGGCTGAGTCATAGCTATTTTGTTTTGTGTTGGGGTGTATGCATGTGTGAAAAAGAATGAAAGGATAAGGTTTAAAAGACTTCCCTCCCTCAACTTAGAGACTGTTTTTATTTGTTTAAAAAATTTTACTTATTGATTTTGGAGAGAGAGAGGAAAGGAGGGAGGAAGGGAGAGAGACCGAGAGAGAGTGCATGAGCGAGCACAGCCTCTGCACTCGTTGTTTGCAATTGCCCATACCATGGATTGAACCTAAACTTTGGTGTATGGGGATGACATGCTTACCAACCGAGCAACCCTGCCAGGGCAGAGGCTGTCTTTTTAAAAATAGTATTTTATTTTGCAATCACAGTGACTTACAATATTATATTAGTTTCTGTTGTACAACCCAGTGGTTAGACATTTGTATAACTTATGAACTGATTACCGTGATAAAAATAGTACCCATTTGACACCATGCATAGTTATTATAATATTGACTGTAATCCCTATGCTGCCTTTACGTTCCCGTGACTAATCTGTAACTTAAGTTTGTACTTCTTAATCACTTTACCTTTTCCACCCATCCTTCCAAACCCTCTGCCATCTGGCAGCTGTCCAAATGTTCTCTATATCTATGAGTCTGTTTCTTTTCTGCTTGTTCATTTATTTTGTTTTTTAGATTCCACATATAAGTGAAATCATGTGGCATTTATCTTTTTCTTTTATTTCTCACCCAAGGATATGCTCATTGATTTTTGTAGAGAGAGGAAGGAGGGAGGATAGAAGGAAGGGAAGGAAGGGAGAGAAGTGAGAGAGAGAGAGAGAGAGAGAGAGAGAGAATATATCATTGATTTTGAGAGAAACATTGATCAGTTGCCTCCCAACATGCCCCAATCAGGGATTGAATTGATAATCTAGATATATGCCCCTGGGAATCAAACCCACAGCCTTTCAATGTACAGGATGACACTCCAGTCCACTGAGCCACACCAGCCAGGCCATATGGCATTTATCTTTCTCTGACTTATTTCATTCAGCACAATACCCTCTAGGTCCATCCATATTGTTGCAGTTGGGAAGATTTTATTCTTTTTCATGGCTGAGTCCTCTTCCATTGTATATATATACACTACTTCTTTATCCATTCATCTGTTGATGAACACTTGCTTCCATATCCTGACTATGTAAATAATGCAGCAATGAACATATGGATACACATATCTTTTCAATTTAGTGAATTTTTTTTTTCAGATAAATGTCCTTAAGTGGAATTGCTGGGTCCTTCTTTGTCTCTAGTTTAAAAGCCTATTTTTTTTTTTTTTTGGTATACATATTGTTATCCCAGCTTTTTGTTTGTTTGTTTCCATTTTTATGAATATTTTTGTATCCCTTTACTTTCAGTCTGTGTGTCTTTTGATCTAAAGTGAGTCTCTTATAGACAGCAAATAAAAGGGTCTTGCTTTCTTATCCATTCAGTCACAATATGTTTTTTGATTGGAGTATTTAATCCATTTGCATTTAAAGTAATTGTTGATAGATATTATTTTTTGCCATTTTATTATTCATATTTTTAATCATTTTTTCTCCTTCTTAAAGAAGACCCTTTGACATTTCTTAGGATATTGGTTTGGTGGTGATGAACTCCTTTAGCTTTTTCTTGTCTGGGAAGCTCTTTACCTGTTCTTTGATTCTAAATGATGCTTTACTGGATGGAGTAATCTTAGTTGTAGGTCATTACTTTTTATCTCTCTGAATATTTCATGCAAATTCCTTCTGGACTGCAAAGTTTCTGTTGAGAAATCAGTTGACAGTCTTATGGGTGCTCCCTTGTAGGGAATTAACTGCTTCTCTCTTTCTGCTTTTAAAATTCTCTCTTTGTCTTTAACTTTGGTGTTTTAATTATAATGTGCCTTAGTGTGGACCTTTTTGTGTTCATCTTGTTTGGGACTCTCTGTGCTTCTTGGATTTGTGTCTTTTTTCCTTTACCAGGTTAGGGAGGTTTTCAATCATTATTTCTTCAAATAGGTTTTCAATCCCTTGCTCTGTCTCTTCTCCTTATGATATCCTTTTGATGCAGATTTTGTTACACTTGATGTCCCAGAGGTCTTTTAAACTATCCTCATTTTTTTTCTATTTTGCTATATGATTGGTTGTTTTCTGCTACCTTTTCTTCCAAAATGCTTATTCAGGCCTCTGTATCATCTAATCTGCTATTGATTCCTTCTAGTGTAGTCTTTATTTCAGTTATTATATTCTTCATTTTTGACTGGTTCTTTTTTCTATTTCTATGTTCCTTTTTCATGTTGTTGAAGTTCTCACTAAATTCCTTGAGCATTCTTATAACCAGTGTTTTGAACTCTATACATGATAGTTTGCTTGCCTTCATTTCATTTAGTTTTCTTCTTCTTGTTGTTTTTTCTGGAGATTTTTCTTGTCCTTTTATTTGGAACATGTTTCTTTGTCTCCCTATTTTGGCTGCCTTTCTGATTTTGTTTCTATATATTAGCTCAGTGATTTTCAACCTTTTTCATCTCATAACACACGTAAACTAATTACTAAAGTTGTGTAGTACACCAAAAATATATTGTATATTTACTGATCTGAAAAAAAAAGTATAATTTTGATTCATTTACATTGGATGGCTATTGTTATGTTGGCTGTTGTCATTTTTTAATTTGACAATCTAAGGGAAAAGAGGTCAGTACTCCTGACTAAACAGTCAAGTATTTCATGTTTTAAAAATTCTAGTGGTACACCACTTAAAAATTGCTGTATTAGTTGATCTGCTATATATCCTATTCTTGGTAGGGTGGCCTTATGTAGTAGGTGTCCTGTAGGGCCCAGTGACACAGCCTTCCTGGTCACCCAAAGTGGGCACTTTATTTGTGCTCCCTGTGTGGGCTGTGTGAATCCTTCTGTTGTTGTTGAGCTGTTGGCATGTCAGTAAGAGAGATTAACTCCTCTCCACCCAAGTTGATTGGCTACAAGGACCAGCTTTGATTACAGTAGAAGAACTGATGGGTAGGGGCTAACCCCTTGGAACAGAACTAACTTCAGTGAAGCTCTAATGCCTTCCAAGTACCCCCTTGAGTATGTTGTTCATATAGGTGGTTGGATTGTGTTCTGGCATGGTCTGAAGCTGGATACCAGGTGTGGTGGCTCTGGGGCCTCTTTGGAGGTGAAGGCCAAGGTCAGCCACCACCTGTGCCTGCTTGGGGTTTCCCTGCATGAACTAGAATGTGATCTGCAGACGACTGCTACTTGTGCTGGGCTTAGAGATGCCAAGCTACAAACTGAGGCTGACTCCCACAAGTTGGGTGGGGCTGGGTCTCAGGGAATTATCAGGGCAGAGCGAACAGTGTTAGTCAGGTTGATGGAGACTCAGATATGGTATCAGCCTGCACCTGTAGTGTGTGGACTCAATAAAGGAACAATGGCTTCTGCAAGCACTTCTGTCTAGGAGAAAGCTGCCCCTCTAGCTCTCACTGTCATGCAGACAGTTCAGTTCCTCCTCATATATCCCTCGTTCCTTTTGAGCTGCTGCCCCAGTGCTGGAGCTCAGAGCAAGTAAGTTCAAGTAAGCCTGTACTCCAGTCTTTTAAGAGGAATGCCTGGGACTCCAGAAGCCTTCCATCTCACTCCGTCACAATCCCTGCTGGTTTTTGCAGCCAGCAGTTAGGGGAACTTCTCTTCTTGGCATTGGAATCCTGAGCTGGGGAGGAAAGGGGGCTGGGACTACTTGCTCCTCAGGTGGGACTTCTGTAGCTGAGAGGTCCCTCCTGATTTTTATCTGCCACATGCGGTCTGGGACCAGCTCATTCTGCATCTTCGTCCCTCCTACCAGACTCTATGTGGCTTCTTCTGTATCTCCTTAGTTATAGGACTTTTTTTCAGCTAGATTTCAAGTGGTTCTGAATGATGATGGTTTGTAGTTTAGTTGTAATTTTGATGTGGTCCTGGGAGTATGCCAATACTGCATTTACCAATGCCATCATCTTAAACAGAAACCTGGAGACTTAATCCTGATGCTCAGTGCATAGGCTGAAGGACCTAAGGTCCTCAGAAGAAAATATTTTAGCTACAGGTCTTAGAGTCCAATATCAGGTAACTGGAAAAGTCCTGGAGAGCAACTACCAATGTTTATGAATTAAAATGTGAAGCTAGATATATCCTTCCTTAAAAATAATTGTGTGTTTTTTGTTTTTGTTTTTTTTAAATCACTATGTGGAAAGCCTGATGACTGATATTGAGGGGAAGGAAGAGAGTAGTACAGATATCAAAATGGAAAAGATGGTCTCTGCATAGAAACTTATGTTGGTTAAGGAATAAAATGAATGAGTGGATAGAAGAGTAAGGGCTGTAATCGTGTTATCTGTATTGTAAAGAGGAATTTTATGATGAGGAACATGCTATGTATGAGGTAAAGCCACCTGTAGTTTAGGGTAAAAATACTTGAAATAACAGTCATTTTGTCACTAAAGTTTTGTTTTTGTTTTTTGTCTAATTTTCTTACTAATGTTTTAAGGTTGTTTTCCTTTGTCCCTTCTAGTGTGTCACTATTTGGAATTTTTCCAGGCTGTCAGTTTAACATTTGTGTTATTGGAAGTTTAAAGCCAATAAAGGATGTTAAATGACTTACAAGCCTTTTTTTTGCAGACACAGATAATGTACAAGTGGATAGAGCCCAAAATCTGCCGTGAAGATCTCACAGATGCTATTAGGTTGCCCCCTTCTGGAGAGAAGAAGGATTGTCCGCCTTGCAACCCTGGATTTTATAACAATGGATCATCATCTTGCCATCCCTGCCCTCCTGGGACGTTTTCAGATGGAACAAAGGGTAGGTTATCAGTGGTCCAATAATTGGACCTTTAGCGTAATAATCTTGTTGGACTACTGTGACTTGGCTCAGTGGTTGAGTGTTGATTCATGCACCAAGACATTGCCGGTTCAATTCCTGGTCAGGGTACAAATCCCTAATGGGGAGCATGCGAGAGTTGGCCAGTTGCTCTGCTCTCTTTCATTGATATTTCTATTTCTCTCTCCCTCTCCCTTACTCTCTCTCTAAAATCAATAAAGAAAAACAAAACAAAACAAGAACCACACTTTTCTTAGAGACTAAAATAGAATTGAGAAATGTGATAATGGCATCATGAGACTGCAATGGCTAATTTAACATATTGTAAGGATAGCTTTTTAATGACATTCTGTGTAGTACTGTCTGAATGGATGTCTCTGCCTTTGGATGGTGATAAGAAATTCCATAATATTAAGTGATTAAGAATAAGCACTTTTTTTCCAGTGAATGCGTACACATATATTGATGCAAGCATAAAATATGTCTTCTAATTCAGCTTTGGAATAATAAATCACATTTTGTGCAATAGTATAAAATATTACTTGTTATGATCATATGGTGTATTATAGTCCCTAAGTAAATTGTTTCAAAGTGTACAGTTGGGGAATTTTTTTTTTTTTTTTTTTTTTTTATCCTCACCCGAGGATATTTTTCCATTTTTTGTATAGATAGAGCGGGAGGGAGAGAGAGGAAGGGAGAGAGAGAGAGAAACATCGACGTGAAGGGACACATCGAGTGGCTGCCACCCGCACGACCAACCAGGGCTGGGGACAAACTGCAACCAAAGTACGTGCCCTAAGCGGGAACCGAACCCGGGTCTCTCGGGACCGCAGGCCGACGCTCTAACCGCTGAGCCAAACTGGCCAGGGCCAGTTGGGGAATTTTTAGTATTTACCACATAATATAGAAAGTGGTTACAGAATTTGTTTTAATTTTGGTAGACAAAGATTACAGTGCATTTCAGTTGCAGGTTTCTTACTTGAACATAGCCATGCTGGATCCTGAATATCCAGAGCCTTTGAGAGAGAACATAAGAAAGACCACAGAGTCAAATTGCCTCGGGTTTGAGTCCACATCGTACAGGCTCCCAGTACTGTGACTTAAACCTTTTGAACCTCAATTTCTCATCTGTAAAATCGCAGGTAATATTATCTAGCTCATCACTGAGCAGGTTATATAAAAATGTCTCCTGCAATACTTTGGTGCCAGGAAGTGTTTATTCAGTGAACATTTCCTCCCCCTCCCCCTTCTCTTCCTGATGTGATAATGTGAAGTGTCTCAGGTAAATTAAAAAATGGTTAGAAAAGACCCTTCCATTTTAATAGTACATTATTAATTTAAATCAGATTTATTCATAAACCTTAATTCTTTCCAAACCTCTCAATTCGCAGTATAATTTTAAAAAAATGTTCTTATAGATTTTTAGAGAGAGGAAAGGGAGAGGGAGATAGAAACACCCATAGACCCTGATTGGGAATTGAACTGATGACCTCTTGGTGCATTGGGTCAGTGCTCAACGACTGAGCCACACCAGCCAGGTTCAGTATCACTTTTTAACATAGCCAATATTTTGAATTTTAAGTAATCAGTCTATAATTAAATCCCATGATATTTTGTTCTGTTTAATAACCAGTAGGAAGTATGAAATATTTCCTCATTCATGAGGTGGAGGGTGCTGATTCTAAAATCACATGTAAGAGAACTTGTTTCAGAATTACTCTTCTTGTAGGGAATAATTCAGTATTAACAGTTCTTCCCAGAAATGAAGGGGAAATTATTTAAAAAGAGTTTGTATTTCCCATTTTTCATGTTAAGTCAAGTATATATGTGTAAAATATATCCAGAATTACTTTTCTTTCCAGATTGCTTTTGAAAAAGTTATTAATTCTTAAGGGAATTGGTGGTTTGATATCTATCCTTCCCACTTCCCTCTCTGCTAATTAAAATGTAGTAGTGCTTGAAAGAGGGGAGAGGAAGTTGTCCAGGTGCAGTTTCAGTGTGATTGCTCACCCCACTTGTCTCCTGTAGAATGTAGACCGTGCCCCGCGGGAACGGAGCCTGCTCTTGGGTTTGAATATAAATGGTGGAACGTCCTCCCTGGCAACATGAAAACCTCCTGCTTTAATGTTGGGAATTCAAAGTGTGATGGAATGAATGGTGAGTTCAGAATCAGCCTACTTGATGTATTTTGGGAGCAGAGACTTTCAGATTCAGCTCTTTAAAAGCATACTACATGCGGGTACCAGGAACTTCCATTTAATTTGGCTACTTGCCCATCCTCAAATAAAGATAGTAAATGTGTTACAGCTGGATGACTTTCCTATAAGAATATAAACTATTTCACGTTTTTGGAGATATAAATACCAGAATAGATTACCAAGGCAGATAATGAAATCGATGTAGTTTGCTATTTTGAAGAGGAGTGTGACAGCATTTCTGACTGGATTGGTTTTGCCTGGCTCAGCACTGAGCCACGGTGAGAGGCTAGTTAATCCATCTCTATCTCTCTTTGCCTATGAAGTCTATGGCCCTGATTACAAAAGTATTGCTGAGCCCCACTAACTGGAAACTTGAAAATATGTCAGTGTTCTATAGGCTAGTTGCTGAATGTTCTCACATTTTAAATTCTTAGAGGGCCTAGCACTTAATTATTCTGCAATATTTGTTGGTTGGTTGAATGATAATATCTATGTGTGTATTTTTAAATTTCACATTAGAAGGAGGTGTTAAATACTAAGGTTTTACACCAAAATGCATCATTTACTTTTTTAAACTCATGAGCATTTTTGTCAACTAATTTAAAAAATATTATATTTAATCATTGTAAAAAAATGCTTTTTAATTGCATCTGTTTTAAATCAGTACCTATCGAAAATAAACAGACTTGGTATGTAGGAAGTGAGGTGTACACAGGAATGCAGGATTGACAAATAATTGGTCCTTAGATAATGTTGGTTAAACAGGTGTATGAAAAAGCCTTAGTGTATATTGAACATTATGAAATATTCCTCTTTACTGACCAATCATCTCATGTGTAGGAATTTATCCTAAGGGAGAAGAAGAAAATATATAATATTTATTACCTGACCATAAAGGTTTATGTTTTAAAAAGATGCTATGATTGGTTTCTAGTGTGAGGAAGTTAAGACATTAGAAAAGTAAGATTGGGAAGGCTAGGGTATCGAATGACTCTATGAAAGCATCAATACTTGTGTGTATGCATGTATGTATGTGTGTATTCATCTACTAGTAAAGATGACCTGTACCTGAAACTTTCATTGTATTTTTTTTCAATTAATTAATTTTTGTTACAGATGTTTCTCCTTTTCCCCCCACTGATTCCCCTCTCCCTCTCCCTCCCTACCCTGCCCCAGCTTTGTTGTCCATGTCCATTGTTCATGCATACATGCATATAAGTTCTGTGGTTTATCTCTCCCCCACCAAGCCCTCTTCTGGGGATTGTCAGTCGGTACCCCACTTCCACGTCTCTGGGACTATCCCATTCCTCAGACTGTTATGTTCATTATATTCCACAAATAAGTGAGATCATATGATATTTGTCTTTCTCTTTTGGCTTGTTTCGCTTGGGATAATACTTTATAGGTCGCTCCATGTAGTCTCAAAGGGTAAGAGATCTTTCTTTCTTCCAGCTGAATAGTACTCCATTGTGTATATGTACCACTGCTTTTTTATCCATTTGTCTACTGATGGACACTTGGGCTGTTTCCAGATCTTAGCTATTGTAAATAGTGCTGCTACAAACATGGGGGTACATATATTCTTTCTGATTGGTGTTTCAGGCTTCTTAGGGTATATTCCCAGAAGTGGGATCACTGGGTCAAATGGCAGTTCCATTTTGAATTTTTTGAGGTAACACCATATTGTTTTTCATAGTGGCTGCACCAGTCTGCATTCCCACCAGCAGTGTACTAGAGTCCCCTTTTCTCTATACCCTCGCCAACACTTGTAGTTTGATGATTTGTTGATGGCGGCCATTCTGACAGGTGTGAGGTGATACCTCACTGTTGTTTTAATTTGCATCTCTCTGATGATTAGTGATGTTGAGCATTTCTTCATATGTCTCTTAGCCATTTGTATGTCCTGTTTGGAGAGGTGTCTGCTTAATTCCTCTACCCATTTTTTAATTGGGTTCTTTGTGTTCCTTTTGTTGAGTCGTATGAGCACTCTATATATATTGGAAATTAACCCCTTATCTGATATATCATTGGCAATTATGCTCTCCCATACAGTGGGTAGACTTTCCATTTTGATGATTGTATCTTTTGCTATGCAGAAGCTTTTGCGTTTGATGTAGTTCCATGTGTTCATTTTCTCCTTTGTTTCTATTGTCTTAGGTGATGTATCAGTGAAAATTCTGCTGCATATGATGTCTGAAATTTTGTTGCCTACAATTTCTTCTAGGATTTTTATGGATTCATGAATCATATTTAAATCTTTTATGCATTTTGAGTTTATTCTTGTGTAGGGTGTAAGTTGATGGTCTAGTTTCATTTTTTTGCATGTAGTTGTCCAATTTTCCCAACACCATTTATTAAAGAGGCTGTCCTTACTACACTGTATGCTCTTGCCACCCTTGTCAAATATTAATTGAGCATATTGCCTTGGGTCCATTTCTGTATTCTCTGTTCTGTTCCACTGGTCTGAGTTTATTCTTGTGTACGGTGTAAGTTGATGGTCTAGTTTCATTTTTTTTGCATGTAGCTGTCCAATTTTCTCAACACCATTTATTAAAGAGGCTGTCCTTACTACACTGTATGCTCTTGCCACCTTTGTCAAATATTAATTGAGCATATTGCCTTGGGTCCATTTCTGTATTCTCTGTTCTGTTCCACTGGTCTATATGCCTGTTCTTGTGCCAGTACCAGGCTGTTTTGATTACAGTGGCTTTGTAGTATAACCTGAAATCTGGTAATGTGATCCCTCCAACTTTGTTCTTCTTTTTCAGGATTGCTGTGGCTATTTGACATCTTTTTTGGTTTTATATGAACTTTTGAAGTATTTGTTCTAATTCTGTGATTTATGCCATTGGTAGTTTGATGGGGATGGCATTGAATTTATAGATTGCTTTGGGTAATATGGACATTTTAATGATGTTAATTTTTCCAATCCATGTACTGGGTATATGCTTCCACTTTTTTATATATTCCTCTTTCTTTTTTCAATGGCCTATAGTTTTCTGCGAATAGGTCCTTTATTTCTTTGGTTAAGTTTATTCCTAGGTATCTTAATTTTTTTGCTGCAATGGTAAATGGGATTGTTTTCTTAGTTTCTCTTTGTGTGAGTTCAACCTTGGTGTATAAGAATGTCATCGATTTCTTGACGTTAATTTTGTATCCTGCTACTTTGCCAAATTCATTTATTAAGTCTAGTAAATTTTTGATGGAGTTTTTTTTTTTTTTTATGTATAGTATCATGTCATCTGCAAATAATGACAATTTCAATTCCTCCTTTCCAATTTGGATTCCTTTTATTTTTTCTGCCTGTCTGATTGCTGTGGCTAAGACTTCCAGTACTATGTTAAATAAGAGTGGCGAAAGTGGGCATCCTTGTCTTGTTCCTGTTCTTAAGGGAAATGCTTTTAGTTTTTGCCCATTGAGTATGATGTTGGCTGTAGGTCTTTCATACATAGCCTTTATTATGTCTAGATATGATCCCTCTATTCCCAGATTGCTGAGCGTTTTTACCAGAAATGGATGCTGGATTTTGTCGAAGGTATTTTCGGCATCTATTGATATGATCATGTGGTTTTTATTCTTCATTTTATTTATGTGGTGTATCACGTTTATTGATTTGCAAATATTGTACCAGCCTTGCATCCCAGGGATGAATCCCACTTAGTCATGGTGGATAATTTTTTGGTGTAATGCTGGATCTGATTTGCTAGTATTTTGTTCAGGATTTTGGCGTCTATGTTCTTCAGGGATATTGGCCGGTAGTTTTCTTTCTTTGTAGTGTCTTTTTCTGGTTTTGAAATTAGAGTTATGCTGGCTTCATAAAACAAGTTTGGAAGTCTTCCTTCTTGAATTTTTTGAAATAGTTTGGGGACAATAGGTGTTAGTTCTTCTTTGAATATTCAGTAAAACTCCCCTGTGAAGCCATCCGGGCCTCGGCTTTTGTTTGCTGGGAGAGTCTTCATTACATCTTCAGTTTCTTCTGTTGTTATTGGTCTGTTCTAGTTTTCTATCTCTTCCTGGTCCAGTTTTGGGAGACTATGTGTTTCTGAAACTTTTCCATTTCGCTTAGATTGTCGAATTTGTTGCCATATAGTTGTTCATAGTAGTTGTTAACGATCTTTTGTATTTCTGTGGTGTCAGTTGTTACTTCTCCTCTTTGATTTCTAATTTTGTGTATTTGGGTTCTCTCTCTTTGTTTCTTGGTGAGTCTATCTAAGGGTCCATCAAAGAACCAGCTCTTTGTTTCATTGATCCTTTGAATTGTTTTTTTTTGGTCTCTGTGTTGTTTATTTCTGCTCTGATCTTTACTATTTCCTTCCTTCTACTTGCTCTGGGGTTTTCTTTTTGTTTGCTCTCTAGTTTTTCAAGTTGTGAGGTTAGATAGTCTACTAGAGATTTTTCTTGTTTTTTAAGGTAGGCCTGTAGTGCTATGAACTTCCTTATCAAAACTGCTCTCGCTGCATCCCATTGATTTTTTTTGTTTGTTTGTTTGTTTTTTTTTATCCTCACCCGAGGACGTTTTTTGATATTTTGTTCAGATAGAGTGAGAGGGAGAGAGAGAGAGAGAAACATCGACGTGAAAGCGACACATCGAGTGGTTGCCACCCACACGACCCAACCAGGGCCGTGGACAAACTGCAACCAAGGTACGTGCCCTTAGCGGGAACCGAACCCGGGTCACTCCGGACCGCAGGCCAACGCTCTAACCGCTGAGCCAAACTGGCCAAGGTTTTTTTTTTTTTTTTTTTATCCTCACCCGAGGACATTTTTTGTTGTTGTTGTTGTTGTTGTTCAGATAGAGAGGGAGGGAGAAAGAGGAAGAGAGAGAGAGAAACATCGACGTGAAGGGACACATCAAGTGGTTGCCACCCGCACGACCAACCAGGGCTGGGGACAAACTGCAACCGAGGTACGTGCCCTTAGCGGGAACCGAACCCGGGTCTCTCGGGACCGCAGGCCGAC